CCCCCCAGTATTACGCAGTATTCCTAATGAGAGGAGAGAAGAAATTGAAATGGACTAAGAAGCTGGCAGGAAGAGTTGTTGGACAAGTGAGAGGAGGAGGAGAAAGAAGACGTAAAATGACTAACAATCAAAAATTTAATTATACAGTTGCAGACACTTGATAAAATATTAGTTCCTCAGTGATTTAAAATCATTGAAGACAGGTTGGCAGAGAGGTTACTACCCACAGGGAACACGAACCGAGTGGGATCCATCTACCAAGCATAAGTGCCCAAAGACCATAAGGTCCATGAGAATTGTCAAAGACTGACAGCCACATTCTAACTGAAGCTCTTGATTAATCCTATGGGGAATTTAATAACAACTGCACACTTAAGAATAATTAAAGATCCTGAATAGAAATGTTAACATTGCAGGAAAAGAGTTGATAGTAATAATAACTGAATAGTAAAGAATCTGGCCTGTATTCCACTTTCTTCTGAAATCAGCAAGGAGGGAGAAGGATCAGTTTGTATGCTTCAGCTGAGTGACAATTGCATAATGCATGGCTGAAAAAGAAAGAAACTAGTCCCTTTTCTTCTTTGAAATTACAAACAACAGGGGAAAAATGAATGTTCTTCAACTGCTATAAGAACAAAAAACAATTACTGATGACTGATAATGGATCCATAGGATTCCCGCCATAGTAAAACTATTAGTAAGTCACCTCAAGCAATGCCCACTAACATAATGGGTTTGCTTTACTCCAAGGCCTACAACTATAATATATTGATCTACTTGATCTACTTGGGAAGATTTAATCTCATTTGACTAAATCCCCCATTCAGAAAAAGAAACTTATATACCTCCGTAAGTACAGTAGGAAAAAACATAAATGGCTATGTTTGAAATTTAATTTTTATGAAGGGGCAATTTGTGTTGAACTTCACATAGTGCAATAAATGTCAAGTTTTTAAAAATCTATTTATTACTAAAACTCCCTGTTTCTGTGATCTTTAACTGGGAAAAAGTGTGCTCATAGGGTAATGATTTTTGAAACAAGGTACTTCAAATGGACATAGAAATCTGGGCTGCATGATTCCTGTGGAATTGAAATTTGGCAAACTGTTTATGACATAAAAATTATCATAAAATATGTTATGACATAACACAAAATGCCATAACATATTTCCTGTGCTGATGTTTGACTGTGCTATACAGTTCAACATGGGTTATTTTAAAGGCAGATACATCTGAATAGATCCCAGCTTTTCTTCTAAAGAAAAAAGTTCAGTCACCAGGTATAGTAAATTAAATTCTTTCTTTCTAAAATCTAAGAGGTTTTGGCACAGACACAAGCTCCAATTTTTTTCTAGCATTCCATATTAAGATAGATTAGATAGATGGATGGATGGATGGATGGATGGATGGATGGATGGATGGATGGATGGATGGATGGACGGATAGATAGTTCACACACACACACCCTATTATTGAGTTTTTAATATCCTTACCGTTTCCTGTCTTTGCGATTCATCAAGTCTGCCAGATATATCTTCTAATTTTTTTTTAATTTCAGCATCACTTCTTAAAATAAAAAAAGAAAAAGACATACTTCTTGAAATATAGTAGTACAGAAGAAACTTACTAACTACATTAGTAGAAACTAATGTAGTACTACATGTACTACATTAAGCAAATTAATTTCTATCTCTATTACAAAATTGAAGTAGTTTCTTATTTTCAAAATATGTTATTGTTTCAGAACAGGATGTGTTTTGTTTTGTGTTATCTCTCCTCTAATGAGAAGGAACCCCAATAAACATCAAATACATCAAATAATGGAACTTTAATAAACTATTTGAAGAAGTAGTTAGATGGCTTAATTCTGTTCTAACAACCTAGAAACTGCACATGTTTCAGAATGAAATGGCCCACTTATTGGCAGGTGCTAATCACTGTTAGTATATTACCCTTATATTGTGGGCCCTGTATTAGTTGCTAATAGGTTTGGGTACAATTCAAAGACCTGTTTTAACTTATAGGTTCTTTATGACTTGGTGCCTGTATACCCCACAAGATTGGCTTTTCCAACCAAAGTCCACCTGGAAGAAATTGCTAGTAATATCCCATTTTCATGAACTAAGGCCATAAAATGATATTTTTAGTTATGGCACCAGTACTGAATAGGTTCCCCTGAAACAAGACTAGTCTTTTTGGTAATTGATTTCTACAATCTGTTTACAGACTCTATTCAAGATAGCCGATGATTATTAAAGCTCTAAATAATTTAGGATCAGAGTAAAGCAAGCAACATCTCTCATATGTATCTATCCAGGCATTCTATCAACTGCTCTTCCCAAAGCTGCCAAGTGAAGTTTACGGAGGAGTTTTATAAAGGACAAGGTTCTATGAGGGACGGGAGTTTCCAGCTGTATAATTGCAATTTTAAAAAATACCTTCCCAAGGAAGGTATATTTGCAGCCACTTAGTATTATATCCGAATCTTGCTAAGTTATTTCTCGTCAACAAGGCATTTTTGAATGCTTTATTTTAATAAGAAGTGCCCACATTACATCGGGAAATTGGCTTTGATATATGTTATTTTATTGCTTTTATCGGATTTTTAAATATTTCTATAACTTTTGTAATGTGCCAGAGAACTTCTGTTATTAGGTATATGCAATAAAAATAACACATAATATAGTAAAATGACTGAACAAAACCATCAAACATCAAGTATTTGTTCCTAATGTTATACACTCAAGTTTCTCCACCAAACAAAGTTATTCTTTCATGTCATACCGATTTCTTCTTGAAAGTTCTCTGGTGAGGTCTTCTCCTAAGCGAATTTGTTCACTGCTGACATCTCTAAGTGACTGGTGTAAAGAATGGAGCTGCAGTATGAATACATACAGAACATAATTAGCTGTTTTAAACATATTTTTCTATCACTTAGTATATTCAGTAGTGTTTGATTGTTGAAAGAAAGTTGTGTTTTACTATTTTTTTTCTTTGTTCACATTTTGTTTTGTTTTTGATGTTGCACTTCCCTCCCTTGTGATTGTAAGCCGCCCTGAGTCCCCTCAGGGAAAGGGCGGCCTATAAATTTTAATAAATTCAAATTCAAATTCAAATTCAAATTTTCAGTACGCTTTTCAAAATACTGAAAGCTACAAAACAGCTATAATAACAATAATTAGAAAGAAGAATATAATTATTAGATTTTTGTATCTTTATATATTAAAATTTATTCAAATTAGACCAAAGGACCTGAGTCAATCCTATGTAACTAGTTCAGGGCAAAATTTATTAAAATGTTTTAGTACTTAGTTTTCTTTTTCAGAATTACTTAATATCCTACAGATTTTTGTACACTCACATTTTTCCTTTACTCTAAAAAATGTATTACTTTTTTCCAACATATTATTCTTTTTCCAATTACTGAAAGTACTTTTTGAATATCTGCTAGCTGAGATTTAAGCCAGTAAATATTATTCACCTAAGAATGTTTTAAACACTCTTAAACTATGTTTTATTATATTGTTGTTGCTTACTGTTCTAAATTTCTCTCACCTCTCTTCAACTGTCTTGTTACGTTATTCTTAGATTGATAAATCTCAAAATAATATTTCTATATTAGCATTGGACAGTGACTGTTTTAAACATTTTAAAATACACTAGCTATTCCAGAGCCCATTTTATCTAAAGTCATTAGCCAAGATTATTTTTACTCTCTAACAAAAGAAATTACAAATAGTAACAGCAATAAACTATTATTATTATTATTTATTTGTCTTGCATGCCGCCCACTCCCGGAGGACTCCGTGCGGCTTACAAAAGACAAGGGAAAGGGGGGAACAAGACAAAGACAACATATTAAAAACAAAACCAACATTCACAATTTCCGTGGAGGTAGATGCTTCTCAGCTCCCCCCAGCCTGCCCCCCACAGCCAGGACTTGGTGGCTTTGCGGAAGGCCGGGAGGGTAGTAAGGATCCGGATCTCAACAGGGAGCTCATTCCAGAGGGCCGGAGCTGCAACAGAGAAGGCTCTCCCCCGGGGAGTCACCAGCCGACATTGGCTGGCAGATGGAATCCGGAGGAGACCCAACCTGTGCGATCTAATTGGTCTGAGAGAGGTAATCGGCAGGAGGCGGTCTCTCAGGTACCCAGGTCCGATGCCATGTAGGGCTTTATAGGTAGCGACCAGCACCTTGAAGCGGATTCGGAGATTAATAGGTAGCCAGTGCAGCTCGCGGAGGATAGGTGTAACGTGGGTGTACCTTGGTGCACCCACAATCGCTCGCGTGGCTGCATTCTGGACTAATTGGAGTCTTCGAACACTCTTCAAGGGCAGCCCCATGTAGAGCGCATTACAATAATCCAGTCTTGAGGTCACAAGGGCGTGAGTGACTGTCTGAAGGGCCTCCCGATCCAGGTAGGGTCGCAATTGGTGCACCAGGCGAACCTGGGCAAAGGTCCCCCTGGTCACAGCCGACAGATGGTGTTCTAGAATCAGCTGTGGGTCCAGGAGGACTCCCAAATTGCGAACCCTCTCTGAGGGGCATATAATAAACATTACTCAAAGTAGTAGTGCAAGTAATTCTTAGATTACAGCAGTTTTATATTCAATTATTCCTATATAATATGTAATAAATGTATTGGATTACACTGATAAAATGTAGTATCACATTTAAAAGCTTAAAAAAATAGTATTAAATGTAGTTTCCTTAGCAATTAACTAAATATTTCACCTCTTGCACACTGAAAAACTACATTTAATGAATTATTTTTAATAAGCTTAGGACATACCACTAAAATTAAAAATATACTGGATACGAATCTGTTATTGGGTGTGTGTAGCATTACACAAAATAGAAAAACCATTTTAATGGTTCATTTTTGAGAAGAATTTGTGTTCTCTTCTCAAAAGAAGATGATTTTTAGAACACAGTAATAATAGTACCACACTAGAAAATGCCGCATAAGCTTAGAAGTTCTAATTGGCATTGGCTGTTTTATTTTGAAATGCAAAAAGAGAAAGATATAAATTTTAAAAATTTGATGCTTTAATGCAGTTTCAGTTTAATTTCTTTTTTTCATATCATTGTGATTAATAATATGGAGCAATTGACCTGAAAAGATATACAAAGTCCCATTAGCAAACAGAATCTACAATATACAATTCAAACATTCTAACAGTTATCATATATATAGGAGTGACAGACAAACACTAGCAATCAGATGAGGGGGAAAAAAACCCTTCATTTCATAGCAAGTGGATAGATTCAACCACAGTTTCAGCTGAGTTAATATTAGCATCTTAGATCAAGCCAAATCCAAAAAGCTAGGAAATTTCTGGAAGCCTGGCACTCAGACAAATCAGCCATCAACAGACACATTCAGATAAATACTTTTACACATCATTGAAATGAGATAATAAAAAACTAAAAATGAAGCATAACAACTAGAGCACATCCCCTTCAGCAAGCACACTCAGATAAGCAAGAATTAACATCAAACAAACTTTATGCAGAAGACAATGCTCCAATCAATGCTCCAATCAAAGAGGTACCACACCCACACCAAAACTGGCAGGGCAAGCTGCTATATATCAATCCTCATGCTCACTCACACCGATGATGTTATCTAGTTGGGTAATGGAGCATCTCCAAGCAAACAACCAAGAACTTCACAGATAGATAATAATTCTCAAAATCTACTTCAAAAAGTAGCTGAATTATATATTTCACTATAATTGGTAATAAAGTAAAAAGGATTTGTAAGAAGTGGTTAAAGTGGTTACAGGGAAAAACATGAACCTGTGTGCTTTTAAGAATACTTACTCACCTGGTCCAATTTACCTCGCTGATCAACAAATCGAACAGCAGATCTAGACCGTCGCTGCCTGATACCTAGTGTTGCACTGTAATCTCTGAGAGGAGAGGTAGGCTTGACATGATGAACTTCTTCACAGAAAGAAAGATAGGAAAATCAGCACAAATTTCTCCTGAAATACAATTTAACTATGAAGAACTGTTTATTCGTCTATGAATCTGCCAAGACACCAGTATTAATCTGTTCAAATATTATATTTTCCACCATACTTACAGGTATTACATTATGCACACATAGCTACTACAAAGTAAAATTAATCAATAGTTTGTTATATTTGCTATATAAAACTGTAAATGTCTATTCAATAGTTCAATAGGATGTCCACAGTTAAGTGAGTATATGATTACAGCTTGAGGTTCATTAAATATACCTGGAGATCCACCATCCAGGTCACTCGCATACAAGCTTGAAAGAGATGCGCTTCTTACTCCAGAATTTCTCAATAAGCGTTGGTTCTTCAGATGGCCCACGGACTCTTCCAAAGTTTCTTTAAGCTATATGAAAATGGCAACTTGTTAGATAGAAGACAATTTTCCTTCAAAATGCACTAAAGAATAGAAGAGAAATAGGAATTTATACTTTTATAGATTCTAATTACTAAATTCAATCAGTAGCTGCTTACATTTGCAATGGTTTCTGCCTGCTCATTGTTATACTCTCGATATTGGCCCAACATCTGATCCACATGTCTTAAATTCCAGTTTGCATCCTTTAAATATGAGAAGAAAGCATAAATAAACTACAATCCAAGCTATAGATACTAAATTGAAATGAGGGTTAAGTGAGGGAGGTCAATATTCAAAACAAACAGTTTGTGTGCTTTTCTCACCAAATGTGTAACCTTAAAGTCACAACCAGTTTAATGCCCATTGATATTTATGTTGTATTTATTTATTTATTCAACTTTCTTACAATCATCCTAGGGTTCTAGGGGATCCACATCAATATAGTTGTCAAAAGTGTATTAATTTGTACTTGCTCTAACCCAATGTTTCTCGACCTTGGAAACTTTATGATGTGTGGAGCAGTTCCCAGAATTCCTCAGTCAGCAGTGGCTAGGGAGTTCTGGGAGTTGAAGTCCATACATAAAATTATCCCTATTGAGAAATGCTGCTCTAATAAATTAACCTCATAATCTTCCTAAAGCTACCCTGTTTCCCCCAAAATAAGACCCAACCAGAAAATAAGCCCTAGCCGCCGCCCCCCCCCCAAAAAAGCTCCAGTTAAGATCATCAGCTATACTGATACAATTAGTACCGCATTTCACCCAAAATAAGATCTAACTAGAAAATAAGTCCTAATACATCTTTTGGAGCAAAAAAATAATATAAGACCTGGTCTTATTTTCTGGAAACATGGTATAACCATGTTGAATAATGTGGCAGTATTCAGAAACCTGCATACCTTACTGTTTCCTTGATTGTAGGTAATTTAGGAATATTAATGAACCAAAAAGACTACAGAAAGTGAACTTGTATTGAGCTAAACCACTGATATGTGTATCAGTAGAAACTATCTAGAAAAAACTATTTAATAGAAACTATTAAGACAAAAACTTGTCTCAAGGGTACTTTTTCAAGAGGCAACTGGACTTTCTGTTTTTTCTTTGAAGATGTTTCGCTTCTCATTTAAGAAACTTCTTCAGAAGGTGAAGAAGCTTCTTCTTAGAATCCTTCCTTGTAATTCTACAAAATTGTTCTTTAAAGTAGACCATTCATAGCAACCTGCAAAGTATTTGCTAAAGTGTGAATCTTCTCTGCAACATCTTCAGTTCCATGATTTCGGATTCTCGTTGCTCTTATAGGACCCCTTCTTCCAATTCTATGACGAATGTTATCAGAGTCGCTGGATGAATCTGCCATTGGAACCTTAAGAGTAAAAAAACTCACATTAGTAAAGTTCATTACAGTTTATCAATTGCAATATCATATCACCAAGAAACAAGCTCAAAAACCATGTTGGCCTTGCTTGGTTCTCAAATACATCATACATACATACATACATACATACATACACACACACACACACACACACACACACACACACACAATTACCATCCTCCTCACTTTGAGAACACTTGAAAAAGATCTTGAAGGACAGGTAGATTCAGTATGTACAAGATCTATTATTTATGCATATCCTAGACTTTGCCATTTCCTTAATATATCACAATCTCATTAATCTATGCTTGCATTAATAATGATGACAAAACCTACCCAAAATTTGTAAAGTACTAAAAAGCACAAGTAACACACTGTGAGCAAGGTTAATTTGAGGCATACCTCAATGTTGAAAAGATGGTGATTAATCACAAGGCTCAACACTATAAATCCTGCACATAACCCAGAATGAAAAGTCATATTTATTTTGTCTTGTTTTGAAAGAGCAAGAATTTCTAACAAACTGATTTCTTCTTCTTTTTATGACCCTATAGGCCCTTAATTCAAAATAAAGTCAGGGAGACTGGAGGGAGTGGAACATTTACTGACCAGATGCCCTTTCTGACACCAATGTTGAGTTCACAGCAGATATTTTTTTCTTTGTGACCTAAGAAAGAAACATCTGTTGCTACAGTACCTAGGATTGAACTATCAACCTTTGAAGTGGGAGGCGAATGTTTTCACTACTAGACCACCATGCCAGTCAACAAGTTGAATCAGTATTTACACTGAAATGTCTGAATTTTGACCATTGTTCTTCATGGCGTTCACAGGATTGTAGAACAATCATCTTCAAAGCAGAGGTGGGTTGCTGCCAGTTCAGCCCGGTTCGGTTGAACCGGTAGTGGAATTCAGGCCTGGGTCTCAGAACCGGCAGTGACCCAGGCCTGACATGCCCCCAAACCGGTTCCCTCGCCACCGCTGATGTTACCGTCATATTGGATTTTAGTGACTGCATGTGCGTAGTTCACTGTAAATTGTTCTGCGCATGCAAAAGTAACTTATGATTGGTTTTCATATTCCAACTGTTGCAGCATTCCCATGGTCACTTGATCAAAATTTGGATGCTTAGCAACTGATTCATATTTATGATGGCTGCAGTATCCTGGGATCATGTCATCACCTTTGTGACCTTCTGACAAGCAAAGTCAATGGGAAGTCAGATTCACTTAACAATGTGTTACTAACTTAACAACTACAATGATTCACTTAACAACTGTGGCAAGCAATGTTGTAAAATGGGACAAAATTCACTTAAGTGTCTCAATTAGCAACATAAATGCTGGGCTCAATCATGGTTGTAAGTCTAGAACTACCTGCATTCTTTCTGCCTGACCTTGTCTCTGTGTGTTGGGGTGGGAATGTTTGAAAGAAATATCATAGTAACCAATTGTTTCCAGACTGTTATCGTTATGACTCTCAAGTTTTCAAAGATGTCACTATACTTCCTTTTATAGCAGTTCTGAAAAATCTTACATATGTAAACTGTGTGCACTTATCCAGACATGCAATATCATTATTCACATACATTAAAAGTTTATATTCACACATTATTATGGTATAGCAAATAGTAATTTGTCCTAAGCACCTGATAATCACGATAGCAAACCCTAGCCATGAAGGGAGATTTCTAAAAGCTACTATTTTTAGAACAACAACTCCAAAAACAAAAACTTCATTCAGAACCCACATTATACTAAATAGCAAAAGAAAGTCTCATTACTTTACTGCCAGGATCAGTATTAAAAGGAAAAGTTGGCTGAATTGATCCCATTCATTCAGAAATAAGGCAACCCAGTTAAGAGTCTCTTTTTCTCTGAAACAGAATTGAACTGATTCTGCTATTTGCCACAACATATTCTTTATTAGTTTATACATTAGTTTATATATTCACAGAGAGTGAAGGGATCATTTTGGCCATTCAAGCAACTTCTTCTCCATGTAGAAATCCAAATTAAAGCATCTCTGAAAGATGGTTGCCAGTCTCTACTTAAATATCCAGTGAAGGAGGAATTTAGCAGCTCTCTCACCAATCAGTTTAAAGCCAGAACTTTCTTTCTGTTAGTAAAATGTTGTGTAATATGGAATCAGAAATTTGCCTTCCTCTTTCTTAAATCTATTATCCAATGTCCTATCTCTGAGATAGGATCATGAGAACAATTCTTGGCCTTCTTTTGTGTGATAATCTTTCCAAAAACTGATCTTATACCCAATCAGTTCTCAGAAGCTTACTGATAACATTATTTGAAACACATTATCTGTTCCACAAATGCCCTGAACTACAAAAATTGAAATATAATAGAAGTTACACATAAAGTCAGGAGTAATCATTTTAAAAATGCATCTTTGTATGTAAAACATCAATTTTTAAACACTTTACAGTATTCCTTAAAATGTAGATTTCACTTATCCATTGAGCGAAAGAATAATAGAAACTTGACAACAGTTTTCTTCCTTTCCCTATTCTAGTTTCTACTGAAGAATCATATATACCAGGGCTGTCAAGCTTGCGGCCCGCAGGCTGGATGCGTCACTTCCTGGCCATGCCCATGCCCGGTTTAGCAAAGTGGGGAAAAGTCCTGATATGTCACATAACATCGCTGTTTGACACCCATGATGTATATATACTATGGTACCTCTACTTTGCAGATTGTACTAAACTAAGTAAAAAGCTTTGACCTGTTCAGACAAAATTTATCTATAAACCAAACTTTAATAATGTAACCAGTGACTTTTATTATCATGTATTTCTACCATAATATTGTAGCAATACAATTAAGATCTACCTTAGAGTGGACCCATGGCCAGACAGGGGATTCCAAATCAAGGCCAATACTCTAGGGCATGCACCTAGTTCCCATAGCACTTCTCACAAAAAATAGGGACATTTTCAAAATTGATTCATTTGAATTGAGAGCAGTAATTCCTATCTTTGATAAAGTAGTAAAACAAATTAGTGAAAAGGCTAGTCTAAAACAATACATGCATCATTGCAGATCTTCAAGGTGAAGAAACTCACCTAAGTTGTCAGTGAAATTCACAATCCTCCAGAACAGTTTACCCCCCTAATCACAGAACGTCACAATTGCAAATAAAATATAGACAGAATAGTAGGGGAGAAAGCCACACCCTAGCAGACTATTAGCAAAAAGATACTTAGGAAACTTTAAGTACAACTTCTCCAAACTTCAATCAACAGGAAAAAGGAAGTTGAGTCAAACTAAGAACTATGGGGAAGATTTATATATGCTGAGCCACTTTCAGTTCAGTCAGCATAAAATTAAACAGAATGCAACTGTTGAAAAAGTAAGTTGAAATGGAGCAAGGGAAAGCTTTGTTATAGTAACCAGGACCAGACTATATTGTGATTCAGGAGCAAATGGATCATACCCATTTTTACCTATTAAATGTAGAATATCATCAGCTTATAGGCATAGTTCCCATTTCCATCCCAATACAGCACAAAGTACTGTAAAGGTTATCAAACTGCCTCATCTGCAGAGGGAGGGAGGGAGGGGAGGGAGGGGAAGGAAGGAAGGAGTTTAAAATCTATTTAATTCAGTGGTGATATGCCTTAAGACGAACATGAGCATATACATTAAGGCGCTGCTAGAGTACACTTTTTCCAGAAAACAGGATTAAGCCCTCATCCAGCATACTGTTAAAATGCAAAGATTTGTCTCTTTTCAAAATTAATTATGACTCATAGGTCTCAACGGTATCACCTCTTTAACATACAGCATATCCCTTTGCAGCTTCACAGAACCATATGGATGGAATATACAACTGAAAACAGAAACACTTAGGAACTGTCACAAATAGCTAATACAGAATCACATCACATGAATAGTCTTAAATAAAATGAATAAGAGCAAATTCTTCCAAATCAGACAATTAAAAAAAAGTTTTAGTTTACAAGCCACAAAAAATATATACTGTATGAAGTTCATATGTACAAACATAATCTGAAGACACTTTTCATTTTCATTTTGCTTGAAATCCTTCCTATATTACGTTGCCTTAATCATGAGTACTCTAAATCTGTTTACTCTAAATGCACCTCAATCTGCACACCTCATTTTGTCCAATGGCTCTTCCTCCTAACCTGGAAGAATTGCCGCCTCCCCCAGTGTAAGGCTGCTGAAATCAAACAGGGTTTATTATGAGTCATGATGGTTAAATTATTTATCACCTCTTAAGGATGATAAAAGGAAGAGGCTGGGCAAAACATGAATCACCTACTTTCAGAGGATAATCAGAACTGCAGAAAAAACAATTACTGCCAACCTGCCTTCCATTCAGGACCTGTACACTGCACAAGTCAAAAAGAGGACCGTGAAACTATTTACAGGCCCCTTGCATCCTGGACATAAATTGTTTCAACTCCTACCCTCAAAACGACGCTGTAGAGCACTGCACACCAAGAAAACTAGACACAAGAACACCACTGTATTCCCTCACCACTGTCAAACTATTCACTAAGGCTGCATTACTATTACTATTAGTCTTCTCCTCGTTTCTATCACCCGTCTCCTCCCATGTAGGACTGCAGGACTGTAACTTTGTAGCCTTACAATTTATATTGATATTGATTGTTTCCTGATTACTTATTTGTATCCTATGATTATCATTAAATGCTGTACCTTATGATTCTGGACGAATGTATCTTGTCTTTTTATGTACACTGAGAAGATATGCACCAAAGACAAATTCCTTGTGTGTCCAATCACACTTGCCCAATAAAGAATTCTATTCTATTTTGATGCACATAATCGGGCTCCCCAACTGTTATCCGTTTAAAGCGTTGCAAAGTTTCTTTTGTCCAGATACTATAAAGACGCTTTCCTGGCCGAATTTCCGTCACCCGAAACTCGGGTTCCGCCAGCGTAAGATCACGACCGATCCCGATCGCACGATCCAAGGCAATGGCTCTCTCCACCCCACGCCTGCGACGAAGACACAAGCGGATGCACCCACTCCGATTCTCCCATTCCCACTCGCTGTCATAACATCCCCACGCTTATTTCCACACTGGGCCCCGGACACTTCTCTGATCCCGGGACTAACCCGTGCCTTCTCACATGAGAATAGTTGTCAGGAAAAAAGCATGACTCCCGGACGCCTCCGTCTCCAACTGTCCGACACCCGCCCAGCTGCCGCTATGGCAACTTGAACTAGCCGCCCTGCCACCGAGAGAGAGCGGCCTCGCAAGGCGCCAGTGCCCCTCGGGCGCCTAGCATCCTAGGAATCGTAGTTCGAATGTCCCGAGGCACCGATTGTTTCGAGTCGAGAGGAAACTACAGCTACCAGAATGCTCCGCGACGAGCCGTCTAAGGAACAGTCAGAAGCGCCGTTCCTCGTTGCCGAAGAACCAGTACAGCAAGCGGTAATAGAGAGTCAGGCTGCGCCTGTTTCTTAAAGGCGTAGGCACTTAATGTCAGCTCTGCGTGGTTTTTCCCAGTCATATTCCTTACAATTACGTTGCATTACAACGAGCTGTCCCAAAATCTGAAAAGAGGTGATCGGGATTTTATTTCAAGCTGTTTGGAACGCACTGGGTAGGAGAAGAGTGAAGTACACAACCACATCACAAATAGGAGCGAAACACAAATTACAGATG